TTTAAGGCAGCAAGAGAAAAGAAATCATAGGGAGAAGTCTGGCCTTGCAGAAAGGACACTGCAAATCTACTTTTTATTTGTGGCTTTTGTTGAACTACATCCAGAAACTTTCAGTAGGTTTAACTAAAATTAAAAAAGGAGAAATTATGGAATAAAAAGGTGGAAGGCTGTAGGAGAAGTTGCTTTTCAGATGAGTCTGGGAAATACTGTTGGAAGGGAGGTAGGAGGAGCAGGAAGGGACTCTGCAGTTACAGTAAGAATGTGCCAAAAACCAGACAGTGCTAGACAGGGCTTTTGGTGTGTCATAGGAAAAGGTCATTTGGGGCGGTTACTTTGGAATTGTACATCTGTTGGGTTGCCATAAGAAGCACTGAATAGGAGGAGTTTTCTGCTGAGGATTCAGAAGAGCTCTGTTGTGCTTCTGATCGCAGTAGGGCTTGTAGTTTTTTTGCCACTCTGAGGAAGATTTCAAAGACTGCTGGACTGCAGAATGTGATGTGATCTTGTTGCTTTGCAAGTGACTAGCCAAGGAAAGGTAAGACCCAGCTAATGAGCTTGAGCGATGTTCCATCTATTTTTATACTGAGGATCTCGAAGTGTATCGCCCTTCTCCACCACCTAAAAGTCCTGAATTTTGTGAAACTTTTGGCCAGATAGACTGTGTAACACGCTGTTGAAGTGACTGGCAAAAGAGTAATGTCCCTTGTGCCTAGTCTCCCGCAGCGTATATGTGCTGTGTTGTAGATCGACTGTTTCAGCTCATATTTCCTGTGATACTCTCTGACCTCTTAGGAAGGGAACACCTGACTCCTAAAAAAGTGTGCAGTTTGGTTATGTATGCTCCCCGCAATGTAAACTCCTCTGACAGGCTCCTGCCCATGTTTTATGGCCTCTTGTGCCTTCTCACTAACACTTAACATCTGCACCACAAAATTTGTAACATCAGTTTGTTCAAATAAAGAATCCACCAAGCATTTAATCCTTGTTTTAATGGCTGATGTTTATTTTAGCTTTGCGTTTCATGTGCTCATGGACGGATTCTCTTCAGATAGTCCATAAATCATGTGGGACAGGAGTAAGACTTCTCTGTCCTGGCTTGTTTCTGAAGTGAGGCTCTAGAGATGGGGTTTTCTGATACGGCCGTAAAGTTGACTCACCTCAGGTATGAGTTACAGATGCATTTAATGAGGATTTTTACTATTGGGTTTGGAACTATTCATCAAATGCCTGCGATATGGGATGTGTGTATTTATTTTGTTCTGTTTGTGATGGCTCATCTGAAAATGATGGTTGTGCTTTCTCCATGTGCTTGATCATGCTGGAAAATTGCTTCCATGTGTGATAGGCAGGAACATGCAAATAGAGACTGCTCTCAAAGTAGCCCTCTGCAAGGACAAGAGGGACAGAAAGAATAAAAAGTTTCCCAATAGAGGAGCTACAAACTGAAAGGGAAGAAACAACAAAAAAGAGACACACACGCTTTTCAAGTAGTTTGTGTTGCTTTGCCTTACCTCCTCTTCCGTAGCGTATCATCGGTGACCACCTGAGCTCTTTGTAGGGTCCCTTGAATCTGTTACACTTTGCCAGTTCTGAAATGCTCAGTAAGCTTACTCTTGGACAACGTGAGGGAGAGGATGAGAGTAAGAGCCCAGATTCTCTAAGTCAGGCCACTCCGGCTGTTTCCAGGCAAGCCTGCGGGGTGGTAGTTTTCCACACACAAGCTCTAATCGTGACCACCCAGTGGAGAGGAGCCAATCCGCAGTTTCAAGTAAAACTCGTGGAGGAATGGGGGCCAGAGGCTTTGTGTGAACCAAGACTACCCAGCAATTTGCCAGGAGTCCCTTTACACTGCTGATCTCCAGAAATCACACCTTTCAGAGTTTTGTACAGCTGCTTTTTGCAAGGAGATGCCGAGTGGAATTGGCAAAGCCTCTCCAATACCTTCATCTGCCTCTGGAGGAGGGACCATGCCAGGGAATCCTGTGTTGCTGTAGAGACAGACACGACACATCTAACTGGTGACCAAAAATGGCCCAAAATGGCCCCCTTTATTATACAAACGGTGTGCTTTTGTACATAGCCTAATGTAGTAGCCTAAGGTAGCGTGGCCTTTGCTTATAGGTTAAACACTTGTTTTTCAAGTTCTAATTGGTTAACACTTAGCGGTTTCCGGCTGGGCTCATCCTTCTGGATCTTGAGGGCGAAGATTTCACAAACATGTCCAAGCTCAGTGCACACGACTTCCCATCTCAAGGGTGCACTGGGATTTTGTCAAGATCAATGTCTTCAACCAGTGCCAGGTTATCAGCAGTCCAGCTGCCGTGCCCCACAATCCAATGGCAAATAACCATGGCATGACCTCTCCTCCATGGAGTACAAACTGCAGTCTAGCACAGTGGATTTTCCCTGTGACACAAGTGGCTTGTTTTCCACCAAAAAGGAGCTTTTTGAAGTGAATGCCCAGAGTACTCTAATTATATTTTCTTCTGCTTAAGCCTTTTGGCACAGCTCCTTCAATGCCAGGCCCAGACTTATTTGAGTCTAGGCCTAGCCCCCCATAAAAGCAACTTCTTTATATGTAGGAGCTTTACACCAGCTGAAAACTTCTGATTTGTTAGGGAATTACCAAAATGAGAATTTGATGGGGAAGTACTGTTACTTCCAGGAAAGTTCTAATTGTTAGCAGCAAGTACTCAAAATGTTCTTAGTAGAATAATTTGCTTTCTCCTCCTTTTTCTCTGCTTTCTCTCCCCTGGTATTTAAATGATAACCTTGAAAGTACTGCAGCTGAAGATGCATGGTTATGTAGAGGAAGGAATGGGTGGATAAGTGGTATGAAATGAATAAACAAACCAACACAGGAGCTTTTTCACAGAAATTTGCTGAAGTCATCTCCAATTCATAGTTGGCAAACCAAAGCTGCACTGATCGCTCTGACTTTGTGGTGTAGTCACTCCATTTTATTTTATTTTATTGCCTTTCTAAAGCACTTAGAAACAGAGTTCCCCAGCTCTGTGGCACCTCTGTCACACCTGGCCTGCCGTCCATGTGAAAACAAGCCTTGAAACTTGGTTATTTTCATCTTTGCTGCTGGCATGTAGCTTCCACTATTTATGAGCACCCCAAGTTTTCATTTCTTGCTTGTCCACAGGATCCTGTCTGTCTTCTTAGACCCAGGGAGATATTTCCAAACTCTTTTAAAAGAAGATTCAAATCAAATTTCATGGTTGTTTTCTCAGTATAAAATATGTACCAAGTGTTGACAGTTGATGCCTTGGGCAGAAAAGCATGTGCAGAACTATACTGGATGACTGCTAGACAGCTCAGAACAGGGGATGTGGGATGGACACGTGCAAATGTGCACACTGACAAGACAGAAAATGTATGAATGAGCAGAAGTAGGGGGGTTTATAGCTGATGGAGTTTATCACCCCGAATACAAGAGGGTCAGTCAGGGAAAACTGATGATCTGGATGTGAGTGGACTTACCAGCCTGGGAAAGCAGGGAAGTCCAAGCTGAGTTATGTAAGGGAGCTGGTAAACAGGCAGTGGAAAAACAGAATCAGTGAATGCTAACTCAGATCTCCCTGCTGCAGAATGGTGCTTTGCTAAGAGACGTTCTCAACTTAAACCTACAGAAAATGGAAAAGTGATTCTCTGTTCTGGGAAATGAGTAGCATGTGAAGTGTGACTTAAGAGGTGTCTGTCTGGTCATCCGTTATGGTCTATTCTGTGTTGCTTTTGCATTGAATACTTTGTTTTTGCTGTTTCAGGGCCTGTTGTGTGTCCTATTCCCTTATTCATTGGAAGAAATTAGCATTAATACCAATGTCAGTATCCTATCCGTACTATATTGCAGGCTGAGCAGTAAGCAGATGTAATTTCAGTGAATCTTGGCAGTTTGTTTCTTATTGCAAAATAGATTTTTTTTTAATGACTTCATTTGCTTTTCTTTTATTTTACAATTGAAAACATGAATACATTTTTTGCTGTGAATTGAGTAGATTCCATTTCAGACCTGAACTTAATTTCTCCTTTGTTCATGCCTCAGCTGCTTTGCACATCTGCCTTTGAGCCGTGAAACACGCTTCACCTTTAAGTTTAGGATGACTAATACGTGAGTTTGGAGGAAGGGAGGTTTAACTTCTGTGTTTTAATTTTTTGTGCTAGCAGTAGCTGACCGCTGCTTCACTTGCTAGTCCTTAGAACAGGTCTTTTTCACATGTTCTTGTAACTAAAGTTCATGAAGGATCAGCTGGTCTAGGGAGTCCCTGGCTTTTGGTGCACAGACCGCAACGGAGGCGTGTGAGCTCTGCACGTAGGTGGCCGGTAACTGCAGCTGCTGGCGCTCGTGCCAATAGCAATAAATGAGCAAAGAAAGCTTGAGAAGGTCTTATCTAGCCTGACCTTCTGCACTCCTGGGTTTCATCCAGTTGGCCAATAATACAGGTTCCAAAACAATCGGACTTGTTTTAAAATTCTTGAGACTCTCTCTGTGTGCTGTTACATTGCTGGTAGCAAGTAAAAACGCAACTGATGGCAATATTGTCTCCAGGAATATCTTACAACTTCCCTGCCTAAGGAGAACCTGCAGAATCTAGAGTGTACATTATATCCTGAAGCATGACCCTCTAAAGTTTTCTTCAACAGACTTTTCCTAATTAGCACTTGTTCCATTATAGTGGAATGTTACTCCTTTCACAAGCAAGATTTCCAATTTCTGAAATTTTTGTAAGAGCATGACTTCTTGGTTTGAATTACAGTTAATATTTTGCTTTTCTGGACTTCTTTTTTCCAGTCTTCTTTCCTATTTGAGTGTAATCTGGTGGTCTTATATGAATCTGCACACAGAGATACAGATGTACTGGCAATGGAACTTTTTATCAGCAACTAACACTTCAAAGGTCACTGCAATTTGAATGTGCACAAGAATGTTTGTTGAAAAGAGTATGCAAGTTTTATTGTGATCTGCCAGCCTTAATAAGTATTTTGACTTTTAGAAAAGAAGAGGCAAAAGAAAATTAAATCAACCAGTGACTGGAGGGAGAGAAGAAATGCCATTCGACTTACCAACGAGTACACAGTAGAAACTCTGGTGGTGGCAGATGCTGATATGGTCCAGTATCATGGTGCAGAGGCTGCTCAAAGATTCATCCTCACAGTTATGAATATGGTAAGTTGGCAATTTACTCTCAAAAGAAGGAGCAAGGGTAAGCAGATTGCATCCAGGGTAGGTTAAAGCTGCCTTCCTTCACGACTGAAATGGGTAACTGTTTTGAACTTGAGGTATGAGGAAAGGTTTTCTTCCTGTGTTATGTGGCTCTTCTCCTTCATCTGTGTGATTCCGTGTGTTTGACTAAGGACATCACAATAAAAAACTTTTTTTAAAACTGAAATTGCAAATTTTCACTTAGGAAATATTCTATAGTTGTTCAGGAGTAGTGTTTTCTTCTATTTTTTTTTGTACTACTATGGTGTACATTGAACAAGAGTATTCCAGAGTGGATAGATGGTCTTGTCTCACATGATGTTTCTCGGGTTCCTAAAGATTTCCATGGTGCACCTGTTTAATAAAAGATATTTCTTTGTGGGTCATTGTCATAGCAGACAATCAAAGTGTTATTGAAGGCAGCAGTAATATTGCTTTCCAGCGGAAAACCTGGCTTTAAGTCAGTTAGAAACACTTTTTATCTGTAATTTGTATGTAATGAAAATGGCTGCATCCTGTGCTGGAGAGAACGTGTCAAACTTGTCACCAAACTAGCTTTACCCTAGGACTTCTTGTGCTACATGAAGTAATGCTGATCCTACCTCTGAATAGTTGATGGAGTTGGGCTTTAGAATTCTGGAATTTCTGCAGAGAATCTGCCCAGAGTGAGGAGAACCTTTTGAAATTGCAAGCTTGTATGGAGTGTGGGTGTTAATTTGCTAGCTGTCCTAGGAGTTAAGCCTTCCCTCTCAGTTGATAAGGGAACACAAAGCCTCTCACGGGGAATGCTCACTCACTTGTTGGCAGTGCCAATAAAGAGATAATAGCTACATTGGATGCGGACACTGAAAACTCCACTCAGAGGCGGCAGGGGTCCGTCCAGAGGCATTTACACAAGGAAGTATTGGAGGAAGCTTGTGTTCCTCTGTCCATGCTATTGTAACATCCGGGAACAGTTCATTCGTTCATTCTCCTGACTGTTGCTCCGTTATTGTTCCTGAGCAGCAAATTGGCTTGGAAAAGCATAACAGTTCTTAATCGTAATTGACTGGTCACGCTTCCCAATGAAGAGCCAAGTGACGGATGCTCAGTGTATAATCCGGCTGTGAGACAGCAGCTTTTTAAGAGGTCTTGTATTCCTTCATCAAGCAGGGGTGTGAGGGAGTTCTCCTGTAATGAAATGCTTTGCTGATTAACAGGGAGTTTCTTTAACTAGTCTTTTCTGTTAACAAGCTGCTTTTCTGTGTCCCTTCCTCTGCCTCTTATTTTTTGCCTTTAGCATGCTGTGACAATGGTCACTTAATAGGGCTTCGTTGTGTCTCTACACTTACTTGGATTGATTTGTAGGAAATCTCTTCGTGCAACAAATCTATTCATGTCGCCATCACTTCAGGGTCTACTTACTGGCTTTCTTGCGTTTTAGGATGTGTTTGCTGGGGACACAAGAGCTTTATTCTTCTCACAGCCACGGTTCTCCAACTTTAAATTCACATACCAGTTTTGTAGTGAGCAGGCAGAACATAAGTTCAGCTCTAAACGATCTTCTAATGAAAATCTGCCATTGCGTTCCACAGTTATGCTGCAGCTGGCACAGGGCATTACGGCTGTGAGAGCTCGTAAAACGTGTCTAATCATTAGTCTTGATGATCCTTGTGCCAAAGGGTCAATTATTTCAGAGTAGCTGTTAGTACATCTCTATGTTCTGTAGTTGTTTTTAAGATTGTTAGTGCTGAGTACACTGGTAAACGAAGTCCTAAACAGAAGATGGCTCTGAGCACTATTGCCTGTCCAGACCGAGGAGTGCTGCAGAACATCTCAGCAATACCATCTTGCCAGGTGTGAATATTTAAGTGTGGAGAGATGCTAATAGGTGGGTTGGGTTCTCTAAACCCATTTACTAAACAGTATTGAAGCTTAGTTTCCAATGAGTTTGGCTGATGGACTTTTAAGCTAGGTTCTGATGCTGTAGTGTGAGCTCAGTCCTTTATTAGGCACTAGAGTGCACATGGAAGAGGACTCTTGGCTGAGCAACACGTTTATCTGACATCTCCAGAGGTGCAAAGTCCAGCTGAAATGCTTCCCACTGTTAAGTCATTGCTCCTGGGGGCTCACCCATGTGGTGTTTCTGATGTCTAATAGGATCTGAATTTGTTTCAGCTTTCCAGCCTTCAGAGGAACACCGACAGTCTCTCTCCTTTGGCCACCTACATTCCCACACTTGTAGGAACATAATGTGTTTCACACCTCTGCCTTCCTGAGGAAACTGGTTGTGAGCGGCTGGTAAGATCAGAAGATACTGAGGAATAATAATAGACAAACACACAGATGGTACCATTGCATAAACCCTTATTCTGAGGCTATATACCAAGGTGAAATTCAAGGAAATTAGGATTTTAACATTCCATTTACCATGATAAAAGCTGATCTTCATCCCAGCAAAAGAGGCTGGAGAATAATTCAGAAAATATATTTCAGGAAGAGAGATAGGATAGTCATGTGGTTTGGTGGGCTTTAGCTGAACTCTTCACTTGCCCACGCTTTTCTGGTAATGCCTGAACCAGCCACGACGAATCTTTTGTGTGGTAGTTTCTCATATGTAAAACTGTGGCATGAGGAATAATCCTAAGTCCTTAGGGCAACATCTGCTCCATCCTTCTCTGGTGCAGGATCAGTTGTGCTCTGTGTAACCATGCAAACAAAGGCCTCCTGACTGCTCACCATCTCTGTTTCCTGCTTGCCTCGGTACGACTTCTGTCAGCCTTCTGTGATTGCTAGTTGAGGGACAGGATTTGTCCCGTGATACTAGGCAGTGCTTTTTCAGCTACACTGCAGGATGGCGGGCTGCCTCTAAAAGAAACCAGAATGTTAATTTTGGCTTGGGTGCTTGAATTTAAGCAAATAGAGCATTACTGGTCAGGGGTATATTAACTTAACTCCTCTCTGTAAGTCATTACATTTACTGTCAAACCACAAAACAAGCATTAAGAGGTCTTATTAATGCATTTTATATTTATAGACATTTTTACATAAAGTGATCTGCCTTAAAGTATTTAATATCTATTTATGTTACAAGAATTTCTAAAGGGAAAAAAAGTCAGCATTACAAAATACTATTTTATTACTCCTATGGTAAATGAGAATCTTTGAGGGGAAAAAACCACCACCCTCCTCTAGAATAACAGCTAAGAAACACAGCAAATCCCTTTTGCAACCCAGAAATAACAGGTAGTACTTCATATAGCAAATGCTGTATTTTAAACGATATTCTGTAGTTCTGACCATCTCCCTGAATAGAGGAGAGATTCATGTTGAAGGTATTTGTTTTTTTCTGAATCCCATTGTAGAGGTGCAAGCTCTTCCATTTAATAAACTAATATTTGAAGTTGTTAGACAGATTTTTCCCAAAATCACGGAAGAATTTCCCTCTAAGGTACTCTGCAATGTATGAGTAGGAACAAGCACAGCTCCAGGGCTTTGAGTTGACTTTAAGTCACCACCTTTGAAATGAGATCTGTTCTTGTTTTCTGGCAAGCTATTTGATGCAGCATGATTTTCTTAATGGGCGATTCCTGATGGCTTTGTAATAATGTAAAAAAAAAAAATAAGCTGATAAAGAAGTTGTCAAATGCCATCATGTACAGCTGCAGCCTTAGTGAGGCAGTGACTTTATGGGCATGTAAGAACATGGACAGGGAGAGATAGCAGAAATATAGAAATGCAAAACCACCTACTTAAATATAAGTGCTGATTTTTTTTTTTCCTAAGTTAAATTCCCTTGTTACTGAGCTTTTGCATGGTGTTGCACTGTTTGCATTTCAGTTCTTGCAAAAAGGAGTTTCTCTATCCTCAAAGACAGAAACTGCACTGGCCCCTACTGTGGCTGGTCTTCATGACTTAGACTTTCAGCTTCCTGGAGAAAACTCCTGATTCAAATGATTCTGAAGCATGTGATAAATGAGGTACGTCACTTTGTGAAAGTTCTGTCCATGGCCGTAGCGTTTTTAATGAGGAGTGAGTGGTTTCAGCTAATACCTGAACACCAAGTTGTAAATGTTGGCTCCTTGCAATTGTGCAGAGCTTACTTTGCAAACCAAGTCCTACTCGGACTGACCCCCTGAGCGTTTAGCAGCAGAGACGCCTGAATTTCCAAGATCACAACCTAGTCATTTAAAAGCTGCTTTCCATGGGTTTGAAAAGCTGAAAAGAAAAAAAAAAAAGTTCTTTTTTTCTTTCTCCCCTAAGTGCATTTTGGTGGGCTTGGAATAAATTCCAACTGTGGCTTGGTTTTGAGCTTGCCTTTTTCTGAAAGAATACAGCATGCAGGGGTGAGTTACTGTAGTTTGTGTTAGTTCTTCTGCAGCTGTTGCTAAGCCATGCTATTAACGTGGAAACTCTTTGCAGCAGCAAGCAGTAACTTGAAGTTAGTGATCCTTTGGATGTCATTAAGAGGGAAAATTTCTATGTTATTCTTCAGGAATAGTACTGGTTTACTCTCTGAAGCCCTATTTTACACTCTGCAGATTGTTTTTCATTTTGGATTTCCCCTGTGAGAGTTTTTTCTATGTTAAAGAGGTAGATAAAATAATTTTTATCATGCATGCATTGATGGATTTATATCTCTGTGCTCTTGGGGGCTGGCACATAAAAGCTTCAGAGCTGCTACTTATAATCATCTTCTTTACCTTGATCTGGAATTTTCATGTTGGGAACAGGGATGTAAGGGAAAAGAATATAAGTACTTGATCACTGTCTACAGATTAATTTTTTCACTCCAGCAGCCCCAGGAGAAAGAGTTATGTCAACTCTATCTTATAAAGAGCCATGAATATGTTCTTTTTCATAATGTTTAATGGGGTAATTTGAAAGCTTGGCTTTAGGTGGGTGTTAGAAATCCTATAGCACTTTTCAAAACAAGTGAAAGACAACCTGAGTAACCTGAGTAATGCCTCTGCTGTCCAAACGGCGTCCAGCAGCCAAAGCAACGGGGAGGCTTTTGCTTAAGTGCAATATTTAAGGAAGAAAAAAGAAAAAATGTCAATTTATCCTGAGGGTTGCTGTTCTGAATTCCAAAACATCTGAAACACACACACGTCTCCCTCCCACCGTCCACCTGCAGAGGAAGCTCTTGAGAATTAAAAAAAAACCCCAAACTGACGTAGTTTAGTTCCTCTCCTAGCCCAATTCTTCTTGTCTAGCTTGTGCTTTATGCATGCAGGGGCAGGCCTGGACAGCTCATGCCAAAGCTGCATTTATTCTGTCTTTTCCATGTCAAAGCTATAAGGAGAAAGAAAAGCAGGGAGAATGCAAACAGAGGAGGAGAAGGGTGGTTCAGGCTTCAGGCTTTGCTCTCTAGGGCATTCTTTGCAGTTAAGTTCTGTCAGGGAAAGGCAGGTGAAGGAGGGAGATGTCAGAGATGGGCTTTATTCTTTTTCTTGTTCTTTGGCTCTTCCCTTTCCATTTTTCTGCCTGTTTTATATGACTCTTTACTATACTTCTTTCTGTTTCCAAAGCTCAGTCTTTACTTTTGATGACTCCTCACAGAATGGAAGTCAGTATAGCATAGAGGTTCACCTGCAGCAGGGCAACCAGATCATGACCACACTTCAGACACGCTGACAACTTTTCGCATCCCTTCCATTCAGCCTAGTGACCAAGAACCTCCATTACTCTTCCAGCCAAGCTGCTTTCTGACACTGTGGTGATGTCCTAAAACAGCAGCCTTTGCATTTTGTTCCGCGGCAGTGTGCTGGTGTGTTTCATGCAGCTGACATTTGTGTTCCTGCCTGCCTTATTTTGTTAAAAGTTCCTAAAATACCCAAAATAGTTTGATGTTTCCCCTGTTGGAAATGGTCATGGCAGCCTCAAGGGTGTGATGCAATTGCAGACTTGAGGGAGGCTGGCCCATGGTATTGCGGGTGGGAAGGGAGGTGTCAGTGAGTCAGTCAGTCTCTCTGTTAATGCATATGCTGTCAGGAAATGTTGAGAACATCTGCAACAACTGGGAAATCCTGTTCCTCCTCCCCTGGTACCAGTTATCTCAGCCACCTCGCTTGGCACTGTTAGCTCCCGTGGTGACGACAGCCAGTTGGATGTGGTGTCTGAGCAGCTTAGACAAGCTGAGCCTGTGGGTGATGCTTTCCCTGTAGGCTGTGGGAGAAGGGCAGAAGGTGGTTGCCACCATGATGGAATATTTTCCAGTGGGAAAGACCTACAGATTTGATTTCTTTTTTGTTTTAAAAATACCTGGATTCCGTGATAATGCTTCCATGGGCGCAACCTGTCTCGCACAGCTGGGTTTAACACTGGCTGTGTGCTGCCAAAATGGCCGTGAAGAACCTCTGCCGAGGTATTTTTTTCATCAAGCCATTTCAGGTCTGTTTGCCTCCTCACTGGGATTCCTTCTAGCCTTAAAGGCTATGTTTTGCGACAGTCTGGGTGTCCATTTAAAAGGATGGTGCACTGGGTGGCAGCAGGGGGGCTGTGGGGGCCTCTCTGAGGAGGAACCCAGGGCCGGACACGGCCGATTCTAACCGGCTCCATGGCGGCCTCACCACAGGACCCAGCAGAGCCCCTCAGGAAAGCAGTTGGCACCTCTGTGAAAACGTGTTCAAGAAAGGGCAAAAAAGCCGTGTGGAAAGTGAGGAGGAAAAAAAAGTGTGAGGAGAACTCTGTGTGAGCACCCAGGTTGGAGGAGGAGGAGGCGCTCCAGGAGCCAGGGATGCCCTGTGATGGGGCCAGTGGTGATTCCCTGAAGAATATTGTGGCCTGTGGAGAGGAGCCTGTGGTGGAGCAGTTTCTCCTGACAGGAGTGCAGCCGGCGGAGAGGACCCGTGCTCTGCCAGGGGAAGAGAGCAGCAGAGAGGAGCTGTTGTGGGCTGACCATAACCCACCGGCACAGCTTAGGGTAAGGAGGAAGGAGGTAGAGGAGTCAGGTGTGGCGGGGTGACATTGAGCTTAGGAAAAACTGGTGGGAGCTGAAGGCGTTGTTTCAATTTTTGTTTCTCTCTATGCAAATTATTTTAACTGGCAATCAGGTAAATTTTCCCCACGTGAAGCGCGTTTTGGTTACAACAGCAGTTGATAAGTGCTCTCCCTCTCTTCATCTTGACCCATGAGCTTTCTCATCATATTTTGTGCCCCTGTCCTGCTGAGGAGAGGAGAGAGAGCAGCTGGGTGGGGTCTGGCAGGCATCTGGTCGGAGAAGCTCGAATGCTCTGCAGTTGCCTCTCAATCTCAAACTCCATGTCCCTTTTTCCCAGTCCTGTGTCTAGGCAAAATGCAGAGGCATCATGCGATAGGCTAAGTGATAAGAACCTGTTTGCTGTACTCTCATTTTATGAGTAGAAACTTATAAGGCGGTCAGAGCTAGCAGAGAGCTGGGCAAATCGCAGGCATCCATCACAGGCAAATATTTGTTAGCCTCTGTAGTGATACCTGAGAGATTGACTTGATCAGCACGATGCCCCATTGACCCTCTTAGCTGAGCATCCAGGTCTCCATTTACACCGAGGTCAACTGTCAGAGCCCTTCTCTGCAAGTATCAAGTTTATCCCCCCAGGTCTGCAGTGAGAGGCCTTAGCTACTCTACCAACATACCTCCGAGCCAAGCAAATAGTACCAGCACTTGTAGGCATTTGTACAGCAGCCGCAGGGAAGATAAATGGCTTATTGTGCTCATCCTGAAGGTCAGTGGGTCAAATACTGAGTAGTGTCTGTCTTGCAATGTGTGCCTAAATTATAGGAAACATTTACGTGTGTGCTTAAATCCAACCCCAAACACTAAAGTGCTTAAGAACACTCTTACACTGAGCACATTCCTGAGTATTTGCACAAGTAGGAAAAATACCAAGCGTTGAAAACATCCAAAATGTGTTCATGTCTTGGGTTTGCTGTGGGAAGTTAGCTGAGCCTGTGTGATATTTTCAGCCAAACGAGCTGTGAGTAAGGAATCTAGCTTACCTGTGGCCAAATTCTGCCTCCTATTAGCAAAGAGTGTCTCTTCACTGGTCTTGATTTTATGTTTTTTGATTTGAGTAGGGAATAAAATATTCATCCAAAGGTTATTATATGGCATTTTACACCTTTTTAAAAGAAATCCCTCCTTTGCCTTTTTTGATATAGTCTAGTTAAACCATTTGTACATGGAGAAATTTGTGAAATAAAATTCTGGCATCAATTAAGATCTTATGTTCTAACCTATAAAAATGAGGTGAAGTATCTGAGCTGGAATGAAAAATCTGGAGAAAGTAGTAAGGTAGTTTCCGGTGCTATTTTTGTATTTCCTGAGGCTTGTGTCATTATGTGCTGCCTTATTACTATTCTCTCATATAAGATATGAAAATAACAGAGGGAAATTGCTTTTCCATTCTATTTCCTGAAGTCTAAAACACACCATTATTTCATCTTGCATTCAGATATCTCTGATATTTAAACACTGAAGATCCATGTTAGTTGGATGCTTCATAACGTATGTCCATGTTCCTTAGACTTTCATTTATTCTTAATGTTCCTTTGGAGTATTTCTCACTTTTCTTTTGCTGCTCCTTTGTTGTTCCTCTTGTTTATTCCAGTTGAAAGTATTTTTCCTTCTGCAACTAACTTGTGTATTTTTTGTTTTGTTTTCCTAATTTTTTTTTTTGTCCCTGAATGCTGAATCTTGCTCAGATTAGTCTGTGGTGAAGCTCAGTGCAGTATGGTCAGAGCAAACCTAGTTTGATTTGGCAAGTGTTTTAGCCACACTTAGTATGTGGCACAGTAGTTCTTAAAAGTTCTTTATTTTATTAAGTGTAGTAGCACAATGCTGGATCATTTTTTTTTTTTGCAGGACAAAATGTCGTAACTTCAGTCACAATTAGTTCCTTCAACTATTACTAAGTCTTAGTATTGTTACTAATACACTGTGGATGTTCTCTCTGCGTTTTGACAGGTGTACAACATGTTCCAACACCAAAGTCTTGGAATTAAAGTCAACATTCGAGTCACCAAACTAGTCCTGCTTCGCAACCGTCCTGTGAGTTCTAACTAATTTTTACCCTGTGCGCTAATTGTACTGTGGTAGTCTCCCAGGCAGAGCAGGATCCCTGTGCTGGGGAGGAAGGGAGAAGTGGGACAGGTCTGGCCACGTGATCACAGATTGTAGGTAGTGCCTGCTGCATTTCACCAGGCAGTATTAAAAGTGGGGGAAGTATAGGGTGCTGCAGGAGTGAAAGGAGCTACTGTCCTTTTATTTGTCCTTCTGGTAAATCTTTGTCTGCCTATAGTTGCAAACCAGTCTCAGGAGTTGACTGTTACAAAGATCTGCTATCTAAAGTGAAACTTCCAGACTTACAAGGCTTTCAAATGTAATACTGTATTAGAAGTTTATGACTGCTGCCAGCTGTTGGAGTTTGTTCTGTAGATGAAATGACAAAAGTCAGTGTGGATTTGAAGTCCCTGGTTCACCTGCTCAGATGAAGCTGGTTTCGCACTTACTGTTCTATCACTTCTCTATTTAAGCCTCTGATTTGTCATCAGAGGCCTAATTCTTTATGTAGAGACTGTGACTGATATTTCTTCTTTTGAATCCCCTGTTTTTCCAAAAGGTGAAGTTGTCTATCGGGCATCATGGAGAGAGGTCTCTGGAGAGCTTTTGTCAATGGCAAAACGAAGAATATGGTGGGGCAAAATACCTTGGTAACAACCAGGTTCCTGGCGCGAGGGATGACACCCCTCCTGTGGATGCTGCCGTTTTTGTAACCAGGTAGAGTAAGGTCTGGTTTTTCAATGTACTTCAGTAGTCAGAGATGAAGTTATATGGTCTAGCAGTAATCTAAGGAAATTTGCTACCCACAGGTTCTTCAGATGTCTCAGATGAAAGTGATTTGTCTTGGATTCGTGTGTACTTGGGAAGGTCATGCAAAAGCATCTCTCCTCTTGAACCAGAGCATTGTAGTCATGGCCACTATAGCATGTTGTAGTCAGGATACAGGCAAGACATGGCTATAGCACAGGTGATACTTTTTTCGCACACCACCTGGTGTAAGTAGAAAAAATAGGTGAGGTTTTGGAGCACAAGCCCTTCTTTGTAGAAGAAAGAAGCTGTAGAATTGAGAATGCAGCTGTGAACAAGTGCTCTGTGTGTAATTAGGTATGAATCAACTGAACGGTCTGAGAGGAGCAGACAGTGTGTTGATAGTGGGGAGGTGATGAGGGAGTTATCTCCTAAAGAAATTAAGAGACGAATACCATAAACTAATTTTCTTCTTATTTGCCCTAGGAAATAACCACTTTAACACCTCTTCCCTATCTCAACTGAGACAGAGGAGGGGTGTAATTCTTGATTTGTTTTTGTGTTTGAAAACCACTGCATTTATTTCAGATGTGAAATAATCTGTGTGTGAATACCTCAGCAGAATTCCTTTCAGGCCACAGCTCTGTTCGTACTGATGCATCAAATACATCAGGGTATGACCCGGACATGTTGTCCGTATTAACCTGCAGTCTTTTTTCTTCTAAATTCACTACCCGAGCTCAATCTCATGATACAATCCAAATCTTGTGCTCCTCACAGTCACCATAAATTCTGAGCAGCAAATCCATGGTCTTTTAAGTTGATTGCATACTGTAAGATATAAATGAAGAATGCATTGATTATAGAAATAATCTCTCCATAATTGAAGTAAGTACAAAAATATAGTGCAAGATTCATGCTGTATGTGCTAGAAAAACATCCTTCCCTATGCCCTTTTTCCCCAGTTTGAGGCAGGAGATGTCTGTACTGCAGTTCAGTATTACTCACCTCTTTGGCCATATTTTTTTCTCTGCCAACAATGTAAATAGAAATACATATTATTGCATAAACTGCCATTCTGATTGTAATTGTCTGTTGTGTCAACAGTCACATTGAAAACTGTCTATGGGATTTTGGTGAGTGTTCGATAAAAGAGCTGGTGAGCAGGGGGTGGGGCCATCAAAGTTCCTAAGAATGGGCCTTCACAGTCATGTCTGCAGTTCCCCCAAATCCTTCTCTCTCCTCTGTACTCAGCATAGTCCAACCAAGCACTTAAGCAGATACTTAACATTTTAGACAGGGTGAATAGTTCCTTTGAAGTCAACGGGCTGCACATCCTGGTTATAGTTAAGCATGTGCTTCGTTGGATCAGGGCCTAAATAAATAACTAACATTTTTGTTAAACTCATCTGGGCATCCAGTTGTCCTGCATGACAAGTGAGGCATACAGAATCTCTTCTGATGTGCTCTGAGCACAGGGCCGAGGCAGCGAGCAAAGCATTTCATCAGTTCAGTCTCTGCAGCTTGTAAAATTGAATGCATAATGTCAGGCTAAATGGATTGGACTCAGGCATCTGAGAAAGACCTCTAGGAAGAACTGTTCCATGGATTTGCAGAGTTTTTGCAGCAGGAGAAGTACAGGTTCAATTGGGTTAGAAACTTGATGCAGATTTTGTGAGAAAGTGCAGGCCAAGGAGCACATTGCTGTGCATAAGAACAACATTTTTCCAGTTTGATAGGCTGGCGGTGTCTACTTGTAGTCTTTTTCCTTCCTTCTTGCTGTGCCTTGTCCTTAACCCATCATGCTTCTGCTGCACAGAGGATGCTGCATTACTTGGAAGACTTCTGGCCCAGCAGCCCGATTCCTGCGTCAGGGAAATGAGGTTTTCTACTCTTGGCTTTGGAAGTGTGTGTGTGTGTCCCTGGACCCTCCCCAGACTGCACAGATGGACCAGTGGTAGAGGATATGGGAACAACAGCATGTCCAGCACAAGCAATTGCGCCAGAAAAAGCAGAAGCTGAATTTTCAGCAGCTGCAGCTGCTTTAGGACTAAAAACAGATTCTTTGGGGTCAACCTCTGAAGACATCCCTCTAGTTCCAAGCTGGCTTTCTGTTTGTTTGAAACGTGAAGGCACGCTTGCGTTTTGAAACTTCACCTCTGACTGATATTGCCCATATACTCGTTTGTATACAAAAATAAATTACCTAGGTGGCAAATATCCCTCCTGTGGGGTTTTAATAGTATGCACCTGATAGAGTTCCAGGTCAGAGGCATACTATGTCTGGGAAATAAGATGTACCAGTGCCCAGTTCAGTAAGTAAGTGAGACAGTGGAAATAATCTGTTAGAGCCCTGAAGGTCTGAGTGTAACGCTGTGGTGTCTATAATCATCAGACTTTTCTTGTTCAAATAACTTTTGACCAGAATAACTTCTGTCTGCAGAATCTGTATCTTAGTGATCATAGAAGCATGTCTCGTTTGAAATACTTTCTGCCTCTTGATCTTCGGTCTTTCACATTGTGTAGGAAATCTTCCGACGTACTGGTGTTTTCCCTACCTCCTGGCTGTAGGTGTTTGGGTCACTTGTAAGATTATAGATAATGTGATAGCAGAGTGAAGAATGGCACAACACCAAAAAGAACAGAATTCAGAGCTGTCATTAAGCAAAGACTTTCTTTTTTCTGATGCACCAGTGTAGTTGTTCCATTTGTAGCCTGCTCTTCCCTTCCTCATTTCTCCAGCCCTTTGCCTTCCCATCAAATGGGCGAACGAAGCAATTCAATGTGCATCGAGGAAACTGGATGCATGGTGGTACCGAATGTGTATATGGATGTGGAAAGTGGGTTTTGGAAGGTTTTTGGCTCTACCGGTTTTCTCTGCCCTTTAGCTTTATGACCCTCCAGGGTTAAACTAGTCAAAAGATGTCACCTGAAGGATGCTAGGAAGTGGCCATTAAACAGAATGCTTCTTATTCATATTACACACTTCAACTACTGTCCTTCTTTCTGACAGCAAGGACCTGAACTGCAGAATTTAGCTTAGCGCAGTTAGCTATTTTTTTCCAGTTTGTGTGAGCCAGATGGAAGAGTGACTGTAGGAGGAGTTCTGAGCTCTTCTTTTCTGGCTATTTTTATTGAACAAAACAACTGGCTTGTTGTCATTTTTTAAGAAGAATTGCTGAAAGTCAGCTAATGGAAACACTCTGCACAGCACCACAAGTGATAATGACTGAGAATTTCACAGGTCCCTAGAAGATGAGGCACATGTCCTGTTTGATTCAGTCAGTGGCTAAAAGTGAAGAGTAAAATTGCTTCACAGCTACAGAGTGTGATTTCGGTATATGATCCAAGACTTAGTGTGATAAGATCAGATCTTGGATTTGAACTGCATCTCCTGGAGTAAGAGTTTTGCTCTAACATGGCTCTATAAAAGATTCGGCTAACAAAACTGTGATAAGAGACCTCTGCACATGCAATGAATATTAAGATTTTTTTTTAAAATCCTTAGAGTATCATTATAGTATCATTCATGTCAAGCTCTTAGTTCAAAAATATAGATGCAATCAAACTCAAAAATGTGCTAGAGAGAAACCTGTCACTGAAACTTTTTAAAAGCAGATCAGTTTCAGTGCCATGATGGGGCCGTCTTACCTCACCAGCATGACTGATGCACAGGTGAGAGAGCTCCTTCTTAATGCTTTTTTGGTCTTTGGCTCCCCTCTGACTGCCAGGAAAGGACTGTAGGAGTTTCAGTTTATAGATTTAGTGATGGGGTGGCTGCTTGCCTTTGGAAGAAGACAGGGAGCTCCCCCGAGCTCATTTGTGGCTAAAAGTTTGGATGTGCTTTTCCATTTGGCCACAGAGTTTTGGGGTAAAATGTTTACAGTTTAAAGCCTAGCATTTTGGTATGAAGTCTTTGAACAGAAGCATGATGTCTCCTGTGCTTGTGTTCATGGCAGTTTAAGGTGGGCTGAAGAGGTTTCGTACTTGCAGGCCTGCACGCAGGCAATTGGGCAGCCACATCCAGTTTGTCTTGCTGTCCTGTTTAAAGTCCTTCCCCTGACCAGACAGCAGCACAGTGCTCTCTTTACAGCCAAGGATTGTTTGACCTCTGTAGGAGAGAACGCAAGTTGTGCTGGACCATTTATGAGACCCCTTATTTTCTGGCATGGTGGCGATTTCTCCAGGAGCTGCCTGAAAGTGCCAGACACCTTTGAGTGTAGAACGGGGTGCAAGGAGCAGAACTGCCGTGCTTTATTTGCAGAGCTGGCCAGCCCCTGAAGAGAGACGCTTTTCTAGCAATGGCCTCCTGCCATCTGCTAATAGTTCAGCTATCTGTTGTCACAAGAAAAGCATCTGTTTGATTTACCAGTTTATATAACATAATAAGTCCTTAAATAAACCTCCATCAAGTTGGCTCTGGGAACTCAAGCAGGCGTGCTTGTGCCAGCTCCGTCAGGAGACTGTCATTACTCTTCTTCGGAAAGACTGGAATGCCAAGGTGTCGAGACACAGTAAGGCTGTGGTGAAAAATGAAAGCTGGGGTTGGTGTGTGGTCGTAGCTTCTGATTTTGTATTGTTCCTATCTGATTTTTTAACACTTGGATGGGTGTTATGGTTTTTCTGTATTGAAGCATGGTTAGTTTTCCATGTCTGCTTAACAAGAGCTGTTGTTTCTCTCTTTCCAAGCCCTTGACAACTGGATTTGTGACTTTCAAAGGAGTTTGGCTTGAAGGGTTTGAGTTCATCAGCCACAGTCCTGGGCCTTAAATCTCTTTTCCTGTAAACGCTAGTTTCATTTTTTTCTTCAAGCAAAAAGTATTTTTAATCTTTCTCTAAGATTTTTTTTTCTCTAAATATTTTTTCTCTAGGTATTTTTTTCTCAAAGTATTTTCTTTTAGTATTTTCTTTCTCAAAGTATTTTATTTTTCTAAGTATTTATCTTTCTCTAAGTATTATCTTTCTCTAAGTATTTTTAATCTTCCCTCTGCCAAACTCTTTAACGCAAAATCCCACAGGGGACTCAGGCATTTCAAATGACACGCTCCAAATGTACTAATATGATTCTCTCACTAGCCTCCCCACAGGGTGAGGAAAGCCATAATGATAGAGATTATGGTTCCTCAGCTTCCCTTCGGTTAAGGAACTTCGGAAATGTTTCAGCACATGTGATGCTTTTCTCCAGCACTTCTTCATAGTGGATTGTGCTGCAAAGCAGGTCTGGTGAAGATAGCTCCTAAAATTAAGGTCTAAGTGCTTATTGAAATGCATCCAAAGCATTAATTTAGTTATAAAATACTTTTTCTCCCACGCTTATTTTTCTGTCATGAGGAACCTCATTTACAAAATCTTCTCACGTAAAGTGTCATCACTTGCATGGTGAGTTTCAGGGCTGGTTACTCTGATTCTGTTTAATATAGCTCCATGGATTCCTGGTTGACTGATGAGTGCCAGTGGCTTATGTAGTATCTCTTCCTGCCTTGATGAGATCTGGGGGCACTGGATGAGATGCAGGGGAATAACACAGACCAAATGAAGTCTCTTGAACCTCTCTTTGTTGGATTCAAATCATAAAATGGCAAACCTGACAGTAGTAAATTTAGCTGAAGCCAACTCACCTAGCTGTTACCTGGCAAATCCTGAAAATCTCCTTCTTGTCAATGCCTATCCTTTCCTATTTAGTCCTGCATCTTTGTTGTCCTTCTTGGTTTTACTTGGAGAAGGAAAAAAAATAAGGAACTGAGAATATGTGGGTATACAGGATCAGTTCTGTGTTTCCAGACAGTGTCCCTACATACCTTCTCCTCCCACTTTTGATGGTGCTGTTGCATCACAGCGTGTCTGTTACTTTTTGTTACAGTTCTCTTGTGAAAATAAGAGGTTTGGTTTTAATCCAGTTGCTGGAGAAGTCTGACATCACAGAGTGAGGCAGTCCTCTTTTACATGCTAAATCTTAAGTCTATTAAATTGAACTGTAGTATATGGAGCTGATTCAGATAACTGCTTGTAATCTCGAAGCAGCAATCAGTGCTACTATCTGTGTTGTCATCGTGTAGACTGCACAACAGTTTGTTTTGCGTTTTTTTTTAAAAAACCCAAACCTCAAGTGAGTGATGCAAGTCATACATCACTGCTTTTTCCTAGCCTGAAGTCTGGAGGTGCAGGATACATTTCACTTCTGTTATGTTTTTCTTTCTAGGACAGACTTCTGCGTACACAAAGACGAGCCTTGTGACACTGTGGGTAAGTCGGAGAAGTAGGGGAGAGTATTTTGATAGCCAGCTCTATGCTAAGAGGAGCTTTCTGGGCAATGTTTCATTCTTTGGTTTGCTGTAATGTTGCTTTTGCTGTTCTGTATATCTCTGTGATGCAAATATGGATTAGTTGAGCAGGCTATGAACTATAAACAAGCCATTATATATTAACCCCTTCTAAGCATTGGAGATCTGAGTTTAAGAAGTAAACTTAAGTATTCATGCTTCTTTGGAGCGGGTGTGTAATTAGAGAATTGGAGATTAAGAAACTGGAATGTATGTATAATGATCCTTTCAGTGTCTACTCACCTAAAACATGGATGTGCTAATGAATGTATTTCCCATTGTAAGAACCTCTGTAACACTCCCAGATCAAACTGGCACTCAGACACCAGAGAAGAATACCTCATTGTAAAAAGCCAAGTTAAATCTTCTTTTCTGCCTTCTACTCCACCTACTTTCTAACTGCCTTTAATCTTATCCAAACCCTGGATTCACAGAGTCTTTACATCTCACATGTTAAATGCTTTGTTTATTTATTTATTTAACTTAGGTAGCAGTAACCTTCACTGTATCTCTTCTCCTGGTATTTTTTTTTTTTAGTCACCACAGTAGCAGCAGTGTTTGGAGGCACAGCTCAATATCTTCTCTATGAAGACTGTGTGATTTTTTTAGACTTGCCTCAAAGCAAAGTGGCCCCTTATCACACATTCTATCTAAACTTGGAATAGATCCTGATTTTCAGCTGATCTCACACTCCAATGTTCAGAGAGAGGCAGACTAGGGGTTGCTCTGCTGACAGGAGTGGTGATGAAGAGCATGGGTGAAAGTGCTTTCAGCAGGAGCTCTGAAACTGTCTGCAGAATTCTCGTCCCGGAGACTGAGCAGGTGAAAGGAGGAAACACAGAGCTGAAAAATACATACGTTTTCTTTTCAAACATGAGCAAGGATTGGCATCTATGTCCAAGATTTCTTTTCAGTCAGAATCCCTCACAATGCATTTATTCTGTGCGCAATGGAAAACACAGTTCCACTAAGGAAGATTTTTATACTGTGTACCTGCGTGTGGAGATGCCTATGGTAAGACACAATAAAGAAACTGATGGAAGACACGTGCTGGTTAAGGTCAGAGCTCTTTCCGGTTTTAAAGATCTCTGTTCAGGGAATTATACCATAGACAGCATGACTAAGGAAATATTTTTATGAGTTCTTTTCTGTTCTTACAATGCTCAATTATTTTCTTGTGCTGCAACTTGCTGCAGGCTGTGGGCGCAGTGGAGAGAGTGGAAGATCAGGGCAATAAAGATTAAACTCCTTTATTACTGTTTTCAGCATAGTCTTTCCAAGATACTTAGAAGGTGAACGTTCATGGGACAAAACCTGTCTGGCCTCTTTGCTCTCTTTAATCTTATTTTTCTTTCCTTCTCCCCTGACAGTTTCATTATGTGGCAGCAAAGCACTAGCATCTTCACTTACTTAGGCTTTTTCTATGCCCCACTGTTTTCTGAACCCAGAGACAGTGTGCCTCATCCCCGAATACAGCTTAGATCCTCCATCATATGATACCATCTTCTCTTAAATACTTCAGAAATAATGTTTTGGTAACAGCAATTTCCAGGCAGTGTTGCCTGTGCCCAAAATGCTGGATTACTGCAGTCTTTTCAGATCATCTACAGTTTAGGCCCTTATCTCTGGGTATATACTGGTGGTGCATTTTGAAAGTTTTCTTCAAAACCATAAACCAAGGAAATATTCTGGTAGGGGCACAATCTGAATGAAGTCTGCCCAAATATTACACTCTGATATCTCATCTGTCCCTGCCCTGAGAAATAGTTCTTAGGCTTAGTGGCTGGAGGTGGAGCCTGAAGAAGATAACCGATTCATCTGGGCATCAGCTTGCTAAGGAGTAGTGCAGTGGTGCAATATGAAATTGGAATTCTGAATTTTTATGAATTCATATCCATAAAAGGGCTAATACATATTTTTGAGTCCTTATATGTGTCCTAAACCCACAGTATAGTATCTGATAATTTTGGACAATGTGTGTGGTGCCCTAAATATATCATACAGTTGTGATTTATATAGAGATCGTTGTCTCTGCTGTCTCTGGATGCTCTGTATTAGCTTCATTCCCTTTCTCTGGCAAAGAGATTCTGTTTATCTGACAAAAGTATTGTATCTGAGATACTACTATGTGATTTTTCTTTACCAATGAAAGTTAGCCCATATGTAATACATTTATATTACAGAGGTTAGACCAGAAGGGCCCTGTGTCATTTGCACATCTGTCACAGCAGAGGAAGAATAAATGGAGTGTACTTGTGTGTCATGCAGCTGGTTTGAGAAAGTGGTTAGTGGTGGTAGTAGTGAATTTTAACTGTGTGAAGGATTCTCCAGTTTCCCTCCTTAGTGAGTTGCAGAGCAGTAGGCTTCCAATAGCCGCCATTCTGTGCCCTGTGTATAGACATGGGTTTGCTGAGCACCAATGTGACGTGGCATTTACTTGGGCTTGATATATGTGCAACAATCAAAGCAGGTTGATGCTCACTGGTATACCATACTGACTTATGAAAAATTAGGTTGACATTCCAGCCGTCTCTGTCATTGCCAGATTCCTCCAACTCCCTCCAACTCCCCTTCCAAATGAGCAAGACTTCCTGCGAAAGCAAGAAGCTAGTTCAGAGAGTGACATTGATCTGGAGAGTGATGCTGAGAGTTACAGCACTCCCCGCAGTTCTCTAGAACAGCGATTGTTTTCATTTCTTGCCTTATCCTTCAGTTTTATGTATGAAGAATGTGATCTCAGCAGATGCATGTGTTATTTCACCTGCTTGTGAAAGCTGACCATTGCAATGTGGTACACTGCCATCCTCTAAAGGAAGAAACATCCTTCTGGTGAGCAGGCACCCTCCTAAACTAGGAGACTGAGGCTACTGCTCTATATAAGGCTCCTGATTTCTATTCTCAGTTCTGTCATTGACTCAGTGTGTGACATTTGACAAGTCACATTCTGAATGATTCTGTCTGCCTCTATGAAATGAAGATTTTGAGTGCAAAGCTATGGGAGACTGTACAGCTTAAGAAGAATTTTTATAAAGCAGCGTGATGTCCTTGAGCACATGGTGCAACACAAGTCCAGAATCTAATGTTGCTTAGTCATCTTTAAGAGACTGTAAAAAATCTATTAGATTATGTGTACTGGAATAAGAGGACTCGGAGTGCTGTAGGTAATGGGATTTTTCTAGTGACAGTTCCTCGATTTTCTTTACATTGTGAGACATACAGAAGCAAAACTTTCCCTAGTGGAAGTATCGAGGCCCAGCTGTTGTTTGGAAGTGGGATTATGAAGTTTAAATGGCTTATAAGAGGTGTTCATTTCTGCTTAGAAAGATCCATGTTGAAAAACCTGTCTGGAATCTTTGCCTGCCATGCAGACACAGAGAGAAAACAGCAGCAGGAGGTTTGTATTTGTATTCTGGCAGGGGCCCCTCACTGAAACCAGTTGCTCTGGGGACTTAGTTCAAGTTTTCTTGGCCCAGCTGCCAAGGTAGTGTGGAAGGTTACATAATAGCTGAAACAAGCTCAAAAATGGTGAAAATATGTAGCTAAGTCTTTGTGGGGTGGTATCCCACTGGCTGTGTCAAGGAATAGAAGCACGTTTGTTTAAGAAATAGTTTGTTACTGCTCATTGCTCCACCTGGCTGTGTAAGTCAGCTCCAAGTACGGATGCATTTGAAAGGAAGTGGCCAGAAGGGAAACGACCTGCCTGTGTGCAGTGCACGTCCAGCAAGGGTGTTCCAACAGGCTCGGTTTTGTGACCTCCGCTACGCTCTGCAGGTTGAGCAGGGAAGGTTCACTTTGTGCGACACAGCCTTGTCAGACACCAGTCAAAAATTTTGCAGTCTCCTGCCACTTCAGGCTCATCTCTCGTGATGTGACTCTAACCTGATCTGCCGTTTCCTGCAGAAGAATCTTTGTTCCAATTGAGCTGCCTCTAAGCCAGCCAAATTGAGAGTTTAATGTCTAGCTATTAATATCAGGCTGCAGCTTGGAGCCTTGCACGTTGTCAGAATCCAACCTTTCTGTGACATAAGCAGATTGAGAATGCCCCTTTCGTTCAGTATTTCCACTGCTAGTGCCAAATAAGAAGCTTTACGGTTAGTTAGGAATGATCCTGCATATTTGAAGGCAAAGCTTGGCCTTGATTCCTCAGTGTACATGTTACCCCAGATCCAAGCTGAAGCTTCCCTGTATTCAGCTAATAATAAAAGTGGGAGCAGTGTGGAATTGGGAAATGGAAAATGAGATTGTGTCTTAAATATCCTTAAATTGCCCTGCTTAAAAATGTCTTTACCTCTGCTGCAGTCACATGTGCTTTTCTGTGGCTTGATGTCGAGGAAAAGAAAGCAGAATATAGTATATATGCTGCAGATGGGCAGGTTTAGCAGAAGGAATAGCTGCCTGGAGAAAACTGAGTGTCAGAGCAGAGGTGATTGAGAAACATAGTTTTCCAGGCTGCTTCCACAAGTAAATCAATGTTTTGTGAAAAACATTCCTGTCTGCTGGCTGGCTTTAACTAAAGGACTCAAAGATATCTTACTGAGAGTCCTGATGGTTATAAATTCTTCTGTAATTTGTCTCCTTTTTCTTGAGTATTCAAAACACTGGCATGTGAATGGGGAAATGGAGTTTTGGTTTTGCCGCTGTGCTGCTGGTTGACTGCACAGATGACATCCTTCTGCTGTACAAGTCCCTTTCTTCTTTCAGAAGTGTGTGGAAAGCTATGGGTGAAAAATGCTCTCATGGAGAGCTGCATTTTAGGGTGCTGTTCACTGGTTTTCCTCCCTCTGTAGTTATGCCCTGCTTTCTGCTTACGAGTTTATCATAGTAAAATGTTTCAAAATATGCCTAAGTTTGGCAAATGAGACATATGCTCTATGCTTCTGAGTAGTTTTCATCCTTTTTTATTCCCTGTAAAACACCTGAATA